CTCTGAGGCCTCGCCCCCATAGTCCAGATTCCTCTCTCCTCCTCACTCAGTGGAATGCAGTTTCCTTTAGGGGACAGGGAAAGGACACTGGGGAGGAAGGGCATTTGCACGGCTTTTTACTCTTGGCATCTGAGCACAGGTGGTTGTTATCTATTCTCTACCACATGCTAATTCCCAACCGGGGTCCTGGGTCAGAGGGTGCTGGCTTTGCCATCCTCATAGCCTAAGTCTTTGGTTAAAAAATGATTTAAAATACATATGAAATTAGAGGGCCTATAACCTGAACTCCTTTTCTTATTTTAGAAAATCGGTGGAGTCCAGCCCAACAGGAACAGTATCAGGTTTGAAAATTACAGTAATCGCATTATGTTCATAGCTGATCGTTGCACAAAGATATTAACATAAGAGCAAGAAGAATCCATTGTATCAGATGAAAAATTCAACTTGGCCCTGATAGAGTTTGGGCCAAGAGTAGGCTATGTGCACCGTCTCTGGGTGACAATGCACATGGACTCTGGGGGACAGCAGACGTGAAGAGGTGGTGGTCAGCCCGCATCAGCATGTTCCCTCAGAGAGAAAAGCACCTCCCAGAGGAAGCTCCTCCCTGAGTCAGGCAGTGTCACTCAGGACCCCCAGGGGGCGCTGCTCTGTCTCCTTCCTGCATGTGAGGGGCTCCTGGGGCCCTGGGTGTGTCTCCCTTATCCAGCCTGTCAACCCATCCATTCCACACTGGCTCCCAATCCCCACCCAGATCTGCCCCCCGGGGGGACACTAATGGCACCCATGGTGCCTAGAGAAAGCCTGAGACAGTGTGTACGGTGGCAAACCTCAGGGAGCCCTGCTCTAGTTACAAACAGAAAATGTATTGATTATTGTGTAATAAATGCTTTATACCTCTGTCTGTCATTCTTTCAGTTATTATTTTTCTTACTAATATGTTCTTTCTTATTTAATTTTCTATTTTATAGAGACTTTTTAAAAATATCTTTGTTTTCAGCTTTCTATTTTTTTCTCTTTTTTTGTCAATACTTCACATCTCAAAATTCGATACATATGAAATTACCTATTTTTCTCTACACTATTTGATGTATATGTGTATTAAAAATTGATTTATTGTGAATTTTTAAATCTGACTTACTTTGACGGTCTCCAACACATGTGTAGAGAAAGGAAAATCATCACGCAAACTGGATTCAATGGATACTTTTCCCATAATTCCAAAATGGATACCACATCATATTTTCATTTCAAACTTTAATTAACACCAGTCACGTGTGCTGTCTTCCTTAATTACTGGAGACACTTTATCCTCCCGCTCCTCCTCCTTACATCTGAATCCCTTCTCTATCCTCCCATTTCATCTGGTCCACAGTAGACTATAAAGAGAAAGGGAGTTTTGAACTGTTATATGATTTTCATGGCAGCTTGGTGACTCAGCCTTGTTCTCATGTCTGATTACAAGACATATGTTTTCCTATTTTCTTATATTTCATACTCTGCGGACTTTAATAATTTCATGGTGACGCTGTGAAATTACTTTGAAATTTGACGTTTCCTACTGAAAATCTGCAAGTGCGTTGAGACTGTGCCATTTAACCCATGGTTTCTTAGAACAGAAGGGCGATTCCATCGTCCCTGTGGGTGCCCCTCCGTGTCGACAGCGGCAGTCCCGCTCTGCTCCTGTGCTGCTCCTGGGACACGGTCCGGGACTCATCAGGGGAAGACCCCCAACTCCTCGCACCCTGGCCACAGACTCTGTCAGTTTCCAGAGGAGTCACTGCTGGACGGAGGGTGACATCTAAGCTCCTTTAAAGAAGACAAGAAGGGATTTCACTGAGGAAGACAGAAATATTCTTAGGGATGAGGTTAGATCTGGAATGAACCAGAATGCTGGGGCTATCAAGAGGACACACACATCTCATCACTCAGACCTCTGGCTCTCCAGAGAGGAAATTGAGGTCTGAGTTTATTTGGAAAGAGGGGACATTGATTTGGTGACAGACGTCAAACCCTTGACTCAGTGTCTCAATCACTTTATAGTCATCAGTCTATGTGAGGTCCCAGCATCTGCCTCTCTCAAGATCTCCCCCCGCGGCCATCAGGGTGACATTGGGGCAGGGAGAGAGAGAAAGCTGATTTGCATGAGGCACCTTCTCCTCCTAATGAGTCTGGGAAGCTTGAAAAGGCCCGAGGACACCATATTTCAGCACGGGAGCCTGAGGAGGCCGCATCCTGTGAGTGTCCCCACCATGGCCTGGACGGTGCTTCTGCTGGGGCTCCTCACTTATGTCTCAGGTCAGGGAAAGGGACTCTGCATCCTTGGGGGACACATAAAAGCTGAGTCTCAGGGCAATCTTGTCTCTCATAACACCTGTGTCTCTCTTGTTGGTTCTAGGGGCTGATTCTCAGACTGTGGTGACTCAGGAGCCATCGCTGTCAGTGTCTCCAGGAGGGACGGTCACACTCACCTGTGGCCTTAGCTCTGGGTCAGTCTCTACCAGTAACTACCCCGGCTGGCATCAGCAGACCCCAGGCCAGGCTCCCCGCAGACTTATCTACAACACAAACAACCGACCCTCTGGGATCCCTGGTCGCTTCTCCGGTTCCATCTCTGGGAGCAAAGCCGCCCTCACCATCACGGGGGCCCAGCCTGAGGACGAGTCCGACTATTACTGTAGTCTGGATATGGGTAGTTATACTTACACAGTGATGTGAACCCACAGGGAAGTGCAACCAAAACCTCCTCACATGCTCAGAATGGCTCAGCCTCAAAGGCAGAAGGTATGAGATAGGCTGGAAATGGCCAGCACGCTGTGAGGAGTGGGCTGCACGGCCCCGCCCTCCTGCCCAGTGGCTCATGACCACGTGCCTCCTCCAGTCTCTCTAATGTGACTCCCGCAAGACAGGGCTTCCTCTCCCCCTGTCTGCCTGTAATAATAGGGAGGGAGATTGGCTCCAAAATATGTCACCCACCAAGAGATTCAGAGACCCCACTGCTCCCTCTGAGACTCCTCTGATTCAAAGAGCATTAGGCACATATCCTTGGTTATTAACTGTTCTGTGGAGAAGAAGTTGATATTTGATTTGGCGTTGAGCTGGTTAGCAATGCATTTGCTCATGTTAGACCTACTACGTTAAATAATCGTGTTGTTCCAGAATCTGTGTTCAGTGAGGTCTCCAGGAGATTTTTAAACGTTAATGTTTGAGAAGCATCTCAACATCTATTATAATGAAGGTATTTTTGGGCATTTTGTTTAAAATGCAGTCGAGGTGATATTCCATGACTCAATCACTCCCCAATTACCATTCAGAACCTTAGGAACACTCAGAAACAGATTTACCATCTGAAGCCACCGCTGAAAACAGAGATTTGATGTCATTACAGGCAGAGCTGGTGACATTTCACAAACTTAAGTCCTTTAAGGATATATCGAGTGGCTTGGATGGCGACATAAGCTGTGAGAAAACAATCCAGTGGGACTGGCTTCCAGAAACACTCCTGCCACTGAGGCCCCTGGGGCCAGGACAGGAAGTGCAGGGCTGGGGGTTGTGGCACCACGTGAATATGTCCAAAGGTGTCCAGGGCTGTGAGGTGGACGAAGAGCAAGGCAGGAAATGTTGGTTTGATTTATGTTCTTCTCTTTGTGTAGAAAATGATATTAGAAAACCATTAAGTTGAGGGAACCCAAAAGTTGAAGGAAAGGGGATATCATATAGATATGTGAGGAGCATATTACAATCGTGTGAATGCCAGGAAGAGGTCATTTTTAGTCCAGGTCACGTACCTGGCTCTAAAATTGAAAGTCTCCCTTAAGGGACACTCTGGAGCCTTTCCCACACTGCAGAAAGAAGACATTATGTGGAAGTCACAGCTTCTTTACCAAGGGTGACAATAGCTTTGGCTCAATGCATGCCAGAGGATACAGGACTAAGGGAGGACATGTGCTCAAGGACGCTGATTAATCATCAGGGCTGTGGCTGTACAAAAGTCCTATGGTTTCCCCAGGCCACCTGCTCACAGTTAAGTCCAAGTGACCAGGGGATATTAGATAATAGTATATTATTATCTGTTGGTGCCAGACTTGAGATATGATTTACATCATACTTGAAATTGGATTTGAACAATTTCTACTATTTTTAATTCCAAAAATGTTACCGTTATCAAAATCCCTGAACTAATTTCTCTCTAAAAATTAAAATGCAGTTTATTTTAAACTCACAATGTTATTAATATTAAATGTAAAATAACAACCTTGTGAAAACTCAACCTTATTATATACTGTAAATACTGTCTAATAAAATGAGAAATGAGTTCTGTTTAATCTAACGTTAGTCATTACATATTTTTCTCAAGGATTTCTTTCTTTCTTTCTTTTTAATTTTTTAATTGATTATTATTTTTTTTTAATTTTTAATTAGTTTTAAGTATACAGTGCTTCGGTTAGACATCCAACTGATTTGAGAAACCAGCTGCCAGATATATGTGTGTTCCCTTATATGTCATTATTTCTTTTTCTCTTGCTGCTTTTAATATTCCTTCTTTGTTTTCCTTTGGCATTTTAATTATGATGTGTCTTAGGCTGAGCCTCTTTGGATCCCTGATTTTCGGAATTCTCTGAGCTTCCTGGGGTTTTACGTCCATTTCCTTTACCAAGTTAGAGAAGTTTTCCATCATTATTTCTTCAAGCAGCTGTTCAACATCTTGATTTTCCTCTGTTATGCCGATCGGATGAATATTTGGAGCCTGAATAGTGTCCCATATCCTCCTTAAATTATTTTTATAGTCTTGGCATCTTATTCTTGCCATTCTGATTGAGCGTCCTGATTGGCTGTCATGTCCTCTAGATAGGGCATTTGATCCTGATAGTCCAACCAGGAAAAAAGAGTAGAAAGTAAAAGTCATGATCCTCATCCATGATTCTGGCAGCCCAGCGGGAAGCAGAACTTGAACCCCATCTCTCAGCAATGAGCCTGAAAAACATGGTAGAAGACAGAGTGAGTCTTTACCCTGCGCCCCCTGCAGGTGACTGTGGGAATCAGTGAGAGCTGAGCCTTGACCCGCACCTGCATTAACAGCACTGAATAAGAGGTGGGAGGCAGGAGAGTTGGTGCTGCATGGGGCCCCTCCCTTCCCTGGTGTCAGCGAGGCAAAGGGCCCAGTGGATAGCTGAGTACACGCCCCCACTGAGCGCAGCAGCTCCCCTCAGCCCTGTGTTTCCCTCCCTGAGGTCAGCGGGGCCAGCAGGGGGCTTGTCTTACATACCCACTGGAGGAGAACCAGCTCGTTACAATCACTGTCCCACTGTCCTTAGAAGGTGTCAGCTGCAGCAAGACCACGGGAGTCAGTGGTCCAACACGCCAGACCCCAAGGAAGCTGAAGGTCCAATTCCCCTGGCCCCCATGCTACACCTCAGCAGGAGGATTGCCCAATCAAAAAATATTAAAAATATCCCAGAGTTTATAATATAATATCCAAAATGCACAATATACATCGAAAAAAATCACTCCTCATACCAAGAACATCCCAAGTTAAATAGAAAAGCAATCAACAGATACCAACACCGAGATACTAAAAATTGTCTGTATAACATGTGACCAACAATCAAACAGCAATCATAAAATCTTCTTGATGAAGAATTAGGGGCACGCTTGAAACAAATGAGGTAGAGAGTCTCTGAAATGAATAATCAATTAGGAAAAAGAACAAGGGAAATCATAGAACTGCAAACGACAGTTGGTGGTCTATACACGTCACTAGATGGGCTGGGGAACTGGCTGACACTTAGATTGAATCCCAGGTATTGAGGAGGGTACTTAACACTCCTGGAGAAAAAGTACTGAAGAGGGTTAGCAAAGACAGAGAAGCAATGAGTCTGCTGTTACCTGGCGAATCAAGTGAAAGGTTAATAAGATTTCCATGTATTCGAAAGAAAGGGGGCTTTTGCTCTGAGTAATTCCTACTACTGTACTATTCCCCCGATGGTGGCACCAGGGGGCACTGTGGATCCACGAAAGGTGAGCAAGGCCTGCAGCAAATTCAGACTTGATGGCTCTGAATGCCAGCTCACTGGCCTGAGTTATTTTATAGAAGGTGCTTCCTCCCACGGACCGACTCAGAGCTCACGGGCGCCTCAGTCGTACTGACGATGGAACTTGTCCTGGGCTGAGGACACACTCCAATTGAGGTGGGAATCTAAAGAGATCAGATTTGCATCAAGTGTGACCCCAACACAAATCCTTGCCTCAGGGAACTGAGGGAGATAAAAGAGACATCAGAGTGTCCAGTGTCAGCTGGGGGCCAGAGTGTCCTTGAAACGCCTGAACCATGGCCTGGATGCCTCTCTTCCTCCTCCCCATCCTCACTCACTGTCCAGGTTCACGGTCATCTCAGAGATCCGCCCTTAGAGGGATCCCTCTGCCTTCTTTCCTCATTCCTGGCATGTGTCTGTGTTCATTTCAGGGTCCAGTTCTCAGGCCATGGTGTCTCAGAAGCCTCCCTGACCATGGCCCCAGAAGGGACAGTCACTGTCACCTGTGGCCCCAGCACTGGAGCAGTCACCAACGATCACTATCCATCCTGGTTCCAGCAGAAATTGGGACAAGTCCCGGCAACGCTGATTTATGACTTAAACAAGAGAAAGGCATAGACCCCTGCCTGGTTCTCAGGCTCCATCCTTGGGGGCAAAGCTGCCCCAAACCTCTCGGGGGCCCACCCCGAGGATGAGGCTGAGGACTACTGAGGGCTGGTGTACAGTGGGTGCTCAGACAGAGGCAGCTTCGAGTCAGGAAGCAGCACATAAATCTGCCCTCAGCCCAGCCTGGTCTATGAACCATCTCATGAGATGAGGGTCACACGATCAGGTGGCTACTACGAAATCATTTCCCTCAGGTCCCTGAATCACATGCATTAGCTTTTTATACACAAAAAGTGAGCGTTATCTCCTGGTCACCCCCAGGTAGACATCTGGGGTCTACAGGAAGTTGGTGGGACATAGCTGTGGTGTCAGCAGCATGAAGGGGGGCCGTGTGGTCACCCCTGCCCCTGTGTTTTCTGGGACCGGAAGGCTGCACAACTGTGGCTCCCATGCTTGCAGGATGAGAAAGGACAGATTTCTGTCACTCCACAGGCCCTGGACTTCTGATTCAATGGATTGTTAACAGGTCTGCTCCGAAATGAGTCCTCACTGCCTAACGTACATCCTGCTCCCGGAAAAGTGTTTATGAGACACTTGTTTAAATGAAAGTTCCAGGACTCTGGAAATTTTTGCAGACAATCAGCTTCTCAGATCTAAAAGAGGAAGGTGTGACAGCAGCACCTGTGATCAGGATGCCCCCGTGGGGTTTCACTGGGCAAGACCAGTCCCATGATACGACACTGATGACTAAATAATACGAATAAATAAACAAGCAAGTGTTTTAGGGAAAACTTTATATGCCGCTATTTACCTGAGAAGAAAGGTGTTTTTTACCACTGCTCTTCCAGCCATATTACCTCCCAGAAACGTTCTCTTTTCAATAAGCACAAATTTTTTTTTTAAAAAAATACACTTCTGATAGTACCTTCATCTTCAGAATGACATTATCATTTCTTTTTAAAATCTATTTTATTGAGGTGCATTTTATGTAAAACGACATACATCCTGTTTTAGTGCACAGGTGGGCACAAAGTGACTAGTATGTGAAATCTTTAATCAATATCTGTCACAGCAACTTTA